GCAGACGATCGGGACCATCGCGCAGCAAAATATCGGAGGGCCCCGATCGTCCGGTTGTCACAGGCAGGAACTTAGCGATAGTTTTGTATGTAGTGATAGTGATTAGAATGCCCACGTTTGGTACCCATGTTTGTGCCCCACATTCCCTCTGTGCTAGATTTTGGGCATTCAAACACATCCAAGTGATATATGCACGTACATCAAAAGTCATGCTTTACCAAGTATGGGCTGCACAGTCCGTATCATACTCCCATCATTAGTTATCCTCCTCAGACACACCTGTCATTGTCGACCTTGTTATACAAAGGGAGGATAAACAATGACCTCATTAGAATCATGGACATGATCCTTGTGTCCACCCATTCAGTAGCTCAAGCAGCGACTCTGAGGTATCCAAAATTTGGGTCATTCCATTACAGCATCCTCCATTCAGTAACTCAAAACCGCCAGTACACGGCCCCGGCCTTGCTGAAAAAGAAACTCATCGCCTACAAAAATTTTGGAGGCTCGGCCTATCGGACCGAAGTGGCTGGCACCGTCAACCGAAAAGGAGAAAAAGTGCGCCGCTGGCAGTTAGGAAAAGTTTTGGGCGCAGTAAGGCGCCCGTAGGCCCGTGTGTACTGGTGGTTTGAAGGGGTACACAGAATGAACTCAAACCCAACTGTCCCTTCCATCTACCGCAGCAACACTACACTGTTCACCCAAATGCAACCCCCAGTCATTATTGCTGTATCTGGACAGGAAGTTGCCCCAAATACATCCATAATGGCCGGGCATTGTATTCAGGTGAAGATGATATTCAAAAACTGGGCCATTGCGTTACCACTGGGACAACATACACTCGGCATTTCTGAACAGCACCTGCGGTCATTCAGATAGAATTGGGAAAACATACACCATTCAGCAACCTAAGGGAAGCTACGGAATGGTGGACGTAGCTGTTCAGAGATAGCAAGTCTATGGTGTCCTGATTCTGACAGAACAATGCAATAACAGCATGATGCAGTTTTCAAATGCAATGGTGGATGCAAGGGAAAGCTGAGTTTGAGTTGCTTGTGTGTACCCTCTAAGGTGGTGAATGGCAGATGGAGTATCGAATGGCACAGTTTTTTAATACCTGGGAGTTGCTGGTTAAGCTACTAGTTTAGTTCGAGTTGATCAGTACCCAGTTATGGTGTTGACTGGTGGACGGGGTATCAAATGACCCAGTCTTTCAATACCTTAAGAGTTGCTGGTTAGGCTATACAAGTTGAGTTTGGGTTCAGTCTGTGTACCCTCTAAGGTGCTGACCGGTGGATGGAGCACTGAATGACCCAGTTTTTCTTTTTTTTTAATATACAAAAGTACTGCAGGCTGAGGTATAGGCAGGCCCAAGTTTCTGAATACCTCAAGAGTTGCTGGTTAAGCTTTCATCTTTGAATACCTCATAGTTGCTGGTTAAGCTACAAGTTCAGTTTGGGTTCATTCTACACACGCTCTAAAGGTGCTAACTGGTGGGACGGAGTACCAAATGACCAAGTTTTTTAATACCTCGGAGCTGCTGGTTAAGCTACTGAATTCTAACGGAATTATGCTGTATAGTTCTGAGTTGCTGCTGACGGTGGATGAAAGGAGAAGTTGAGTTTGAGTTGATCCGGTGCTGAATCGAAACATAGTATCTAATGGCCCAGTTTTTTAAAACCTCCGAGTTGCTGGTTAGAGCACCAGTACACCACACATCAGCCCGCGGGTGTCGGCATGAAACCCGCACCACTTCGGAGGCCACCGGGTTTTTTTTTTCAATGGCACCCCTGGCCGCACAGCGCCTCCGAGTTCTGCTTGTGGCGACAAAAACTTCCTGCAAAGCTGGCGCCGTGTACTAGCGGTTTAAGCTACTGAAAAGTGGACGCAAAGACGGCAGCTTAACCAGCAACTCTGAGGTATTCAAAAACTGGGCCATTTGATTACTCCTCCATTCCATTACTCAGCGCCTTAGAGGGTACACAGGATCAACTCAAACTGAACTTTCCCTTGCATCCACCGTTAGCAGCAACTCCGAGGTAATAAAAAACTGTGTAATGACCCGCCATAACACAGACTGAGAACACTGCTGATTTCTGAAGTTCTGCCGATGGAATGGATGCCTTGCTGAGATTCCCGCATTCTGCTGAGTTTACTAAGTCTGTATGTGTGCGTGCTTGTTGACCTGCGTGCCTGTCCGAGTGCTTGTCGGCATGAGTGTGTATGTGACCCGCAAGGGTACTTGCTTGTTTGGCAGGCCTGAAGGGCCGGTACTTACCTGTGGCTGTGGCATCGAGGGTTGCAGCAGGGGAAAACACTCAAGTGGCGGAGCCAGAGGTCCGTGGCACTCAGAGCAGCGGAAAAACACTCAAGAAGCAGGTAGGCCAGTACCGCACCCAGTAGCAGTAGATGTGCTGGGTACTCGAAGCCGAGCAGAAGAAGACAAAGTTGGCATTTTTAGAGGCCCAGTAGGAGTAGGCTAGGTCTAGGCCGGTACCAGTCCATCCAGCCTGAGTCTAGAGCCTGTACAGGGAATATCAGAGTCTGCAATGATGTTTCCCTCCGAAAGGGAGAAGGTACCGGTCGCTTGGGAGGCCGAGCGGCCTGGAAGTCACCGCCCAGGAGGCAAGTAGGCCACTATATCAAGAGGCCGAGGGAAGAGCCCGGACTCATTCTTAAGTGCGCAAGTTTGGCGACACGCTGCTGGAGTGTTGGCTGGAGGAGCGCTGGCTACTACGGCGCTGCTGGGAGGAAGCAGCTGGGAGCTTCCACCTTGGCTATGGTGGAGCTCTACCGATAGGAGGAGGGGGAGAAGGGGACCAAGGAGGAGAGCGAGGTACCTACCTGGATATGGTGGACACCATCTTCATCACCTTGTTTGGCGCTGCATCTGGAAGGCCCTAGTTGGGGTAGTGCCGCATCAACGAAGCTCGGGACAGAGTCAGGCATGGCGGTTGAGTGGGCAGCGGCATATCTGCCTGATGTTGACCTTGGGACGAGAGGGCAGCAACATATCTGCTTTGGGTTGTCCTTTGGACCGGAGGGTAGAGCCCTCAGTGCTCCGCCATAGCCTCGGCCTGCATGAAGAGGAAGAGGAAGGGTGGCCATGGCTATGGTGGACCTTATGTTGTGCCTAGGGTAAAAGTGGGATTCGGACATTGATTCTGGTTCAGCCATTCAACATTATTATTGTTATTTCTTGTTTGAATAAGAGGGGAGGAGATACGGAGGAGNCCACATGTTGTGCCTGCAGTAAAAGTGGGATTCGGACATTGATTCTGGTTCAGCCATTCAACATTATTATTGTTATTTCTTGTTTGAATAAGAGGAGGAGATTGGTTGGCGAAGGAGAAGAGCATTATCTTTGGTCTACACTGGAGTACATCTTCTTCTTTCTTACTTCTTCTTCTTCTTCTTCTTCCCCTCTCTCCCCTCTCAAGTTCATTCATTTCTTTTTGCAATTGGACGGCATTGAACTTTCTGATGAATGTATACTGCGAAATTGGCCAGGATCGTAACAACTGCATCATTCTGTTATTGCATTATTCCGTTAGAATTGGGACACCATACACTTGCTATTCCTGAACAGCTACGATGTCATTCCGTTAGAATTGGGAAAACACACACTCGCCATTTCCTAAAGGCGACTGCATCATTCCGTTGAATTTGGGAGAACATACCAACTGGCCTAGCTGCTGACAAAGTGCCCTGACTTTGAATCCAGATGCAACATGTTAAAAGAAAACTGAAAGGAAATTGGGAAAACGTTCACAAGCTGCCCTAAATGGCTATAAGGGACCAACGGGCCTAGCTCAGTAGATACACCCATGAATAGTTGAAGCACAGACCCAAGATTGAATCCAGATGCAATCAGGTGAACCGAATAAATGGGTAAAGTGTCGTTCCAATTTAAGTCTGAACACCGTACACTCTACATTTCTCACATTTGGAAAGTAACACACTGAACTTCTCTCAAATTCACCTTTCACGACCTACCCACCACTACTCCTAAGGCTATACAGGGGACCGACCACTCCAAGCATAGCTACCACTTCGGCAATTAGGCAACACCAAAAGGGGCAATCAGAAAATAATACAATGTACCAATCAGGAAAAGCCCAGTGTCCCAATTAGGCAAGGCCCAATGAACCAATTATCGGGCCTCGAGAAAATGCAGTCGTACCAATTAGGCAAGCAATCCCAATGTTTTACTTATTCGCCAAGGCTCAACACATCAATTAGGCAGGCACAATGTACTAATTAGTCAAAGCTGAATGCATCAATTATCAGGCAAGGCCAAATGCACAAATTAGGCAAGGTCCAATTGAACCACGCATATCCAAGGCCGAATGTACCAATTAGGGAAGCAAGAAATGGCCCGTCTGAAACAAGCCTAGCTCAGTTGGTACACCCACGAGCTGTTGAAATACAGACCTCAGTTTGAATCCAGATACAATCAGATGACCAGAATAAGACCATCATTCTGAATTACCCAGGCCGATGTCAAGACCGTTGCACTTGGAGGACCAAAAAAAAAAAAAAAAACAGGGCCCGCAACCCAAGGGGATTTACACTACACACATCGCAAAATACCCTTCCCATAGTCTTAGGGCATTCTCAGACTAAGCCTTCCACGGATATATCTGGCTGTAAACATGATCAGAATCATCAGATTTCATTAAAACAGTCCTCACGTGAATACGCCCTTACTCCT